AGCAAAAATAAGTAACATGCCTCGGTCTTTTACTGTGTAAAAGATGTTGGCTTTCCGATTGCTTTGAGCCCTGATTTACTATGTACCTAAGCACATACATGCCCTCTCCAGTCCTTGTGCCCTGCCCTACCCTTGGTCATACACCTTATTATGTTCTTCCCTACTATACCCCTAGGATATGTGCCCTGCCCAGTGCCCTGTCCTTAGGTCTTGTACCTTGCCCTGCCCTTTCTTCAGGCCCTGTGCCCCGCTCTGCCCTGCCCTCAAACACGATACTTTATATATTCTGCCTGGAAATTTGATGCGCTGCCTTCCCGTCTTTTGGCCCCGTGCCCTGCCCTACCCTAGTTTGAGGCCCCGTGCCCTTCGCTGCCCTCAAGCCTTGTGACACGTCCTGCCATCAGACCCCGTGCCGCTGCCTTGTCTTCAGGTAATGTGCCCTGCCCTGCCATCAGGCCTTGTGCCTTCCCATGTCCTCATGCCCCGGCCCCGCGCCCATCCTCGAGCCTAATGCCTTGCCCTGCCTCAGGCCCTGTCCTGTCCTGTTCTGCTTCCAGGCCTCATGTGCATTGCCCTGCCATTAGACCCTGTGTCCTATTCTGCCATTAAGCCTTATGCGTTGTATCGCCCTCAGGCCCGTGCCCTGCCTCGCCCTAAGTTGCTGTGCTCTGCCCTGTCGTCAGGCCTTGTACCGTCCCATGCCATCAGACCCTGTGTCCTACTCTGCCCTCAAGCCCTGTATTCTGCATTGCCCTAATGTCTCGTGTCCCATGCCCGCTCTCAGGCGCTGTGCCCTGCCCTGTCATCAGGCCCTGTGGTGTCTCCCGCCCTCAGGTCCCGTGCCGTTTCCCGTCCTCATGCCCCGTGCCCTTACCTGTCCTCAGAACCCGTGCTTTGTTCTGCCTCCATGCCCTGAGCCTTGCCCTGCCCTCAGGCCCCATACCCTGGCCCTGTTTCACCGGTGATAGCAGCACGCTGCAATTACACGTGTCAAATTGGGTTTCCATGGAGACATCAACAGGCCCATTGCTCAAACACTACCACAAGTATGACGTCAGCTCGCGGAATTTGATAACAGCGTCCGTGAAGCACCGCCCACGTCTTGTCATACCTTCGGGGCCCGAAGGTATGACAAGACGTGGGCGGTGTTTCGGGCCTTGTGCCATACCTGTGTCTTATGTCTTGCTCTACCTTTAGGTACTATTTCTTGCCCTGCTCTAAGATCCTGCGTGTTGCCCTGCCATCAGGTGTGTTGATCATCAGGTGTTCTAAGGCCCTGTGTCTTGCACTACTCTCCAGCCTTGTGTAATGATAGCCTCAGACCCGCGCCTTGCCTTGCCCTCGGACCCTGCATCCTACCCAGCCCTCAAGTATCCGTCTTAGCTTAGCTTCATGGCCTGTGCCTGCCCTGTCCTTAGGGCTCAGACTCTGTGTCCTGCCTTCCCTAAAGTCCTGTTTAGAGATGTCAAGTTGGAGCCCGCAGGCCCGGAGCCTGGCCTAAAATCCGGCCCTACAGGGCTTTTGCATGCACAGTGGATTGTATCATTGTTTTGAGGTACCTCATCGAAACGCATCGACTGATATGCGACATGATCTATCTTGGTCACGAAATGACCTTAATGTGAGGTCAAGTTCTTCTGACCTTGACATTTCGAGGTAAAAATGAGAGAAGAATGATTGTGCAAACGAAAATTCTCTACCTTTTTTAGTTCAAAAGCTTTTCATGAAACCTATATTGACAAAAATTGTAATTTTACCTGTTTTTGGCTATGGAGCCTTAACCGTTGATCTGAACTCAATCCTGACGAAATATTGACGAAAGAGCTGTTCAAGATATATTGATTGCTTTTCTCCTGTCGATTGCGCCCTCCTAGCTATCATAGTTTTTGAGATACCGGCACGTTTTCCGAAAAAAAAATATCGCATCATTGCGAAGTTTGACATTTGATGGCATACGGCCAGATCAGGGCCGTCATTGCCGTCTGGCCATAGGAGGATATAGAGGGGGCCACGGGTCCATGCTCCCCCCCCCAAAGCGCCCGGAAATGACACAAAATCGACACATTTCTGGGCATAATAATTAAGCAAAGGAACTTCCATTGGGAAAAGTTTGGGTTATATAACATGATAGGCAGTAAGGAAGCGAAATCCGAAGCATCCAAAGCATCCGTTCATCCAAAGCATTAATCTATGATGGATTTTTTATGTAGCTTTAAAATCCGATGATTTTTTGTCACAACTTAGGTGGGTACTGTTTGACCTTACGTCATCTAATTATTTCAAATACATAGTATCTTCAATGCAAATTGGCCATGTTTCACACGTCAACCTCTATTTTGAATCGATTGATAAGGGTGAAAAACGCATGAAGAGACGTATGTATCACATTTTAATCATGTGCATATTCATTTTTATTCTATAAGCATAGGTACAATTTAGTGCGTCAAGGGAGGTCAAACACGCCCAACGCCGTTCAGGAAAACGAGTGACTAACAACAATGTAAATGTCATTTTAAATCGCCTGTCCGCCCTTTGAATGCGGATAAAGAACGCACTACGACTTGGCGAATTTCGAGACTGGCCAAAAGCAATCACAGCCCGCTCCCAACATCCCGCTTGCAGTGCCCTCCACCAGCACACTACACAATGTATCTGTACATTATCTCACTTGCATTATATACTATTTCGCTTGCAATGTGCCCTTTTCGATCAAAGCGTGTGCCCTATGCCACCTTTGGGACGCAGTGAAAAATCCTTAAAATATGCCCTGGCGGATGTCCGGCCGCTATGCAGCCTGACTCTTTTATATGTCAGCCAAGCCTCGTGTCGCCTGCTTAGTAAACTCTTAGGTGGATTTTTTGACCAGGGTGGCTTGCCACCCGAGCTCCTGCTTTTAGGAGGCACATGATCTAACACTTTACTAACGACAATGTCTCTAAATCTGTCAAAACTATCAGAGGCATTTAAATATCTAAGCTCAAAATTCCAATCAACCAATCCTAGGTCCTCCTTCAATCTACGATAATTTCCCTTGTGCCAAGAGAACTTCCCTTGCACTGCCTTTGCTACTGATGACTCGCCACTGAAGATATAGTCAAATACTACAGGCACATGATCACAAGCAGGCAAGGGGGGTTGCACTATGACACTGCCAATTCTATCCCACTCAGAAGTCAAGACGAGATCTAATGTGTTTCCAGACCTAGGAAACGTGGGCTCTGACACCCACTGTACTAGACCTTTTGATTCAAACACATCCATAAATTTAGTCTCAAGTGGCGGGTACGAGCCCACTGGTAAGCACCCAGATTGACACCACTGAATACCTGGAAGATTGAGATCACCCAAGACTACAATCTCTTTGCCCTCCACAATACTCTGTAAACAATCAACAAGAGCATCATTCTTCGCTAAATCATTTGAAGGGGGTCTATAAACACACGCAAAATACACATTGTAACTAGCTAGACGAAACAACAAAGCATTATCAGTGAGATCAGCTACTTCATCAACCATTAAAGACTCATGGACATAAGCACAGACTCCATGTTTTCCTACATCGCCAATCACATCCTTACGAAACAACTGGAAATGTGGAATAGAAACAATGGCATTCGAGACTGAGGACGTTAGATGAGATTCAGTAATACATATAATTTTCAAGTTATGCTGCTCAATTAATCTCATTAATGAGGTCATCTTACTGCAGATGCCATTTACATTTACTGTACAACATTTGATCACAGTGTGCTGCAGACTGGGAGACGGGTCACCTAGTTTTCCTGGTTGACAGGGGTGGTGGCTGGTGCTCCCACACTATTCTGGGTCTCCGTGGCAGGCAGAGCACTCGCCGTGGGCATGGCCTCAGTATCAGTGCCACTAACAGGGGGTTCCCTGGCAGGTGCTGCCTGCTGGTTACACTCTGACTTTCTCTGAGCTTCGGCTCCACCGTGAGGCCGAGGCACGCTCGCTGTGAACACCCGAGCGATAGGTTGTTGCTGCCTTCTCATGTTTAGTTCCTGTCGCTGGGTGAAAGTTAAGTCCCTACGGATGTAAACATGGTCGTACTGTGATCCCTTCAAGAATTTTGCCTTGTCCAGGACGAGAGCCCTGAGCTCGCTGTCCATTATCTTTGCTCGACATAATTCAGGACATAATTTGGCACTCAATCTCAAACAATTGCGCCCTGTACGATTTATGCCTGATATCATAACTCAAGATATGTTGCGGTTTAGTGGACACTTCATTGGCTGACCAATGGCAATGCAAGACGACCAATGCCAGAGACCAAGATGGTTGTTGACCAAGCAAGCAACCTTTCTTTGGTTAGAACACCATACATTTCTGTGAACTACGTCTTCCTTCGTAGTCTTTGTCGCTACGCCGCGAGCGCGATGTCAGTCCCATTGCAACACATAATTGCCGGTCAGCCGGCCAGTTCTATTCGCTGTTTCTGCGCCAAGTGTGGGCGGTACTGCGGCGTATGAAGGACTTATGCCGCCTATCCATCCCCTGCTGGCTGATAACGTAGAGGCTGCAGACCCAATCTCGGCTGCTGCACTGCAGAGAAAGTCAATCACCCTCCGTGTGCCGCTCCCCGCCCTGCCACGGGTACATCAGTCACACCTCTGAGGGGGGTCTGTCGTAATTACCAGTCCATCGGTCAGATCGGGCTCTGGTCGGACGCTGCTGCTGCCCGCGGCGCGGCCGCCGTCGGCGGCACGATGATCGATTTCATCTCTGTGGGGATTATGGATAGCGAATAATTGATAATCGATGCTGCAGGCAATAGTCGAATTTCAATTCAGCGTCGGCAACGCTTTCATCGCTGAGGCTCAACGTTCCAGTTGTGTTATTATATTGCACATGACTCCAGCTTGGGTTCAGGGTTGCCCTGACTGTACTGTTTGTATATGTGTTATTTGTTTTATTTTGTATGGTTTTCGTCCGCCGGCTTTTGGTCGAGGCCGCTGTGTCACTGTCCCCCTGTGCACCCGCAGGTCTCTGGCGGCGGCGGACCGGGCACTCCGCTACCCTCGTGGCTGACCTTTGACCCGGCGCGGGTCACCTTCACTGGCGTGCCGACGGCGGCGGACGTGCGGCCTCACCTGGTGGCGGTGACGGCGGTCGGCGCCGACGGCTCCAGCGTCAAAGACGTCTTCATGGTGGACGTGCTGCCCGAGCCAGGTGAGTGATCTTTCTTATCTCAGCATAGAATCATTACATGGATCCGGCCCATCCCTGGCGATCATGAATTCGAGTCCAGTGTTAGAAGTATGTGATCCAGGGATACAGCGTGCCGAATTCGTCCGTCAACAGCTTAGGATATGGCGCTAGGTCCTCTTTGATACCGGCCGAACCACTATTGTACACAATGTGAACAATAGACTGTCGATCGACGTCCGTATCCTAATCCCAGTTTAGCGGTCAGCGTTACAAGCGGACGCTAGTATACTGGTGAAGGTCACATCAGAATGCGATTGACCATGTGGCACCGGACTGCAGAACCTAAACGCCCGTGTCCGTGTGGCATAGTCCCGGTTGTGCAGTCTGATGTATAATGTATGTCCCCGCTCTGCTCCTCGTAACCCAGCCGTCCAACCGCGGTGGTCTTGTCTGTTGTCAAGCGATTGTTTCGAGCACGTTTCGAGAGGCCTGCTCCGTCGCTGCCCGCTCGTAAAAAGCGCCGAGGGTTGATGCAGTCAGCCCATAACGCTCAATATATGGCTAACGTGGGCTCTCGAAGTGCCCTTCCGGTTTTAGCTACAGGTTTTTACAAATATTAAACACCACCATGCTCCTGATATCTGCCCACCCTCCATCGTCCACCGTGAACTGTTCTCTGTCCACCGTCTTCCTTCCACAGTCTTCCGTCCACCGCCACCCTCTACTGTCCACCGCCCGCCCTCTACCGTTTAGAGCCCGCCGTCGGCCGTCCATGGTCATTGGTCACCCCAGGTCCGTCCCTATGCCGACCCTGCAGGTGGTCGCCCAAGGTAGGTATCCATACGCATTGAGTAGCCGATACTGGCCCTCGCCCCTTATTCAGCCCTTGGCATGCTTTTCGTACCGTCCCTTCACCACCCCCACCTGGTCTGTCGCCTCAGGTCCCCTAATCCCGTCCTGTATCCATTCCGTTTCCGTCTCCCGCTCCTCCCCGTCGCTCTCTCCCCTCTGCCACCTGCCGCTGGGCGTCAGCTGCCGCCCTGTCGGCGCCGTATCCCCGCCCGCTGGGCCACTGAGGAGTCGGTCACGGCTCCGTCCCTCCGTCCCGACCCCGCACACCCACTGATCGGACCGGCCTCGTTTGTTTGTGCGTGTCGGACGGCCGAGCCGCGGGCGAGCCGCGGCCCGAGCCGCTTTCGTTGGCCACCGCTGCCATGTCCTGTTCCCAGCTATGCGCACCGATCCCGCCGCCGCCGCCGCACGCGATGCGAACGCGTGCCGCCGCGCGGGTAAAAATAGCTCCGGTGTCGGCGCGGGGCCGCTCGATCTCTGCCGCTTCCGGTTCATGAGCGGCGCCGGCGGTCATGTGTCGGCACTAGTGGTGTCAATTTCAGAAAACGTCAAACGTGTGTCCAATGTCCGTCCAATGTCCAATACTTACGTCGACTGTCCGTCCAAAAATGTCCAATTATAAGTGGAAAACAATGGGAACGTTTTTGGTTATATTACTTTAAGTTGGCTACACATGTGTTTCGATATAGATCTTTTTCAAGCCATAAAGACAAAAAATAATTCGCCTAAACATCAAAGTTGTCAAAATAGTTTGCGGCACAGATTAAAATTCAAATAGCAATGCTTCACACAAATGCTTGAATTTTAATCTGTGCCGCAAACTATTTTGACAACTTTGATGTTTAGGCGAATTATTTTTTGTCTTTATGGCTTGAAAAAGATCTATATCGAAACACATGTGTAGCCAACTTAAAGTAATATAACCAAAAACGTTCCCATTGTTTTCCACTTATAATTCAATTTGTCTATCTATATCAAAAATGTCCAAGCCAGCCATTTGTCCAAAGATGTCCGACACCTACGCAATAGTTTACACTCAACACTGTTATTTAATTTGCTTTTAATGTACCATTACCAGCTCAAAAGTGTTAATCATATCGAAAGCTGAGTTTTCTAATAGCTTATCAATGTTAAACACGATTACTTAATAAAAATGTTGAGGTGTAGCAAGCGATTGTCCAAAGTTGTCCAAAACCTGCTGTCATTGTCCAACCGAATTCCGAATTGGACATTGGACGAAATCGGAATTCCGAAAATTCAAGTTCCGACTGACACCACTAGTCGGCACGCGCCACTTGTTGGACACACTGCGTCCCGTGTTATGGGCGCAGCCGGTGTGTCCTCAGCTGACATTACTCGGTGCGACCGGTGTGTTCCCAGCTGACAATGCTGGGTGGCGTGACGGTGCTATTGGCGTGAGGTGGTGCCACCGCGCTGTGCAGCCCCGGACTGTCCCCCCTTTACCTGGCAGGGGGGGTGACCAAACCGGTTATCGACGCCACATGACTGACAGTGGGCTGGGGCAGGGGTGGTGCGATACCTCACGGCATACCTCGGGAGGGCTCCCACTGAGCGGGTGAAGCGCCGGGCCTGGTCGGTCACTGGGAGTCTGGGACAGTACCGGTGGGTGGGACTGGGGTGGTGCAGGCTGGGACCCCCACGCCTGCCGCCGCGGCCTGCCGCCCAGCGCCGCCGCACAGTCAATCAGCTGAGCGGCCGGCCGGCGCGCGGCGTTTATGGAGCGGGAGCGGCGCTGGCGAGCCATATATGGCGCACCGGTGTCGCCGGGGGGCGGGCCGCGCGGTGACACAGCGGCGGAGCGCTGGGCTGGGCTGGGCCGGCGGGCAGAGCGCTGGGGCTGGGGTCGGCCGGTGCGGCGACCAGCTGGGGAGTTTTGCACTGATGACCAGTGCAGCCTGGGCGTTCCTAAAAACCCAAATATCATCATCATTATCCTGGGGTATACGAATGATGGGGAAGTCACGCAAGTGGCTGCAGATCGGGGACCGAAGGACTGCATGCACCAAGACTGTTCTTCGCCAAATGTTATATGAGGACGTCAATCTGTGCCGACTGCAACTGGAAACTGATCTAGCCGTTTGATGGCGTTTTCATATTTTCTGTCCGTTTTCAGCGTCGTCAGAGGAATTCGGGGCTGTCGGCGGCGGAGAGCCGCTGTCGGACGAGCTGGAGGGCTGCCGCGCTGGCAGCGCCCCTAGCGTCGCCTCCGTGTACTTTGATGTGCCGCCCAGCACCCTAGGTGGCGCGGAACGCCTCCGTCTTCTGATGGCTCTTGCGCGTAAGTAAGAAAGATATGTCGATTCTTAAGGCGAAGTGAGTCACTTCGTAACCTTTGGTGGTTTTTTTCTGTAAGCTATTTGACCATTTCCACTATGGTATGCCCCTTTTCCCACTGTTCGCTATATTGAGTTCGCTCTCTTTCCCTCCCCGACACAGGGGAGATGCAGCTGAGCCCTGAGGCGATTCTGATGAGGTCACAGACGGGCGCCATCCCAATGGGTTTGTCCAGCACAGTGGAGGCGGGGCCGGGCGTGCGGCCCCGGCGCGGGAACGACCTAACGCGACTCTCCTGGAAGGTAAGGGCGCGCTGGTCGCACTGGGTATGGCATGGGAAGATTCCCCAGAACTGGGCAGTGGGCGTCTAGACAGTTGACGCCGTTAACTGTCTTGAGTTTATACTGCCTTCAGATTTGAGCCTACCATCCCTGTCTTCATATGTCATAAAAAGATGTTTGAATTTGTATGTGTCAGCAGAGGTCCGATCTGTGAGGTTAAACTCCAAGTTCTCGCCTCTGACCGTCGTTGTCCCCTGGTCGTCAGGTGGGCTGCGGGGACCAGCTGCAGCCGTCGCGGCGCTGGTCGCTGACTGCCCTGCGCCAGGACCAGCGGCTGCGGCAGCTGTCGGACGCCGCCGGACGCCCGGCCGTCGGCTGGAACCTGGAGTCGGTCCGCGCCGCGCCCGGCCGCCGGCGGAGACAGGTATGGAGGGCAGCGCCGCCCAGCGGCCACAGCAGCGTTACTGGTTTCTATTTCTGCCGACAGAGGGCAGGGCGGGGATCAAGCTTCATGCACGTTCTTTGAGCGGTGCCGCTGTCACGAATGATTGTTTTCGGTGCCGGTGGGTTTGTGAGGAGGGCTCTCCATGTAAACTGCCTTTGTTGAACAGGGCTCCCCGTACCCGGCTGGCCCGAGCCCTCTTCCTCCCTGTCTGTGCCCCTCTTCCCCTCTCTCTGTACGTACTCCGCCGCCGGGCTGTCGGAGTTTCCGGCCGCCCGCAGCCGTGCACAGGGGTTCGGAGCTGGGTCACTGTCTCTCTTGTCTGGCACTATTCGGCTGCGGCGCTCGGCTCGGCCGGCGGACAGTTTGTCAGTGTCACCGGCTACCTGCAGGTGGACGGATCCGGCGCCGGACTCGGCGACTACAATTACGATGAGGACGACTACTATGACGATGAGGACGACTATTACGACAGCGAGTACGACTATTATGGCGGATTTGAGGATGAGACTTCGACCGGGCCCACCGATTCCTACCGATTCCCGTATGAGGCGTCTACCCCTGAGGGCAGTACCACCACAACCACCACAACAACCACAACCACAACCACTACCACGGCTGCGCCTACGGCGGCCACCACGGCCGGCACGCCGAGCACGACCGGCTTCTTCTGGGGCGAGCACAGCACTGAGCCGTTCCCCGTGTACGTCGAGTCCAACTACGACGGCGTGACGTTCGCGCCGGAGGGCCCCACCGGCGACTGGCCCGGCTACGACTACTACGACGGCGAGGATTACGACTACGACGAGCCGTCGGACGGCGAGCCGGACTACGCGGCGCCGCCCGAGGAGCGCGTGGTGCCCTCATTGGCCACCCCGGCCCTGGAGCAGCCGCCCGCCTCGCCCGTCTACCCGCCGCCGCGCGTGTCGGCGCGACCAGAGCTGTCCCGCGTCAGCACACCGATACCGGTAGGGCGCTGACCCCGACCCCTGACCCCTGACCGCTGACCTCCTCCCACGCAGCTGAGCCCATTCCTCGGCCAGCTGCGTGGGTCGTGATCAGCGACTGCGCCCTGGCTGCTGCATGAGCTTACTGCTGACTGCATGGGCATGGCTTTGGCTTCTTAATCCTTCGCTAGTGGTCACGCTGGTAATTGTTTCACAGTATTATATTGTCTTCCTGGTCATATTTTACTGGATAGATGTGCTTATTGCAGGCGTGCTATTTTTCCTAATTGTGAGGTCGAAAAACTTAACTTTTCGTCGACGGCTGCTCCTGAAGTTCACGCATCATTTATAGGTGATGCATACCTACCACCTTGTTTTTTAAGTTTGCAGTGCGGCTGCCCTCTATGCTAATCTACGATGTTTGAAACTTAAATGAACTACTTGTTCAGTTGTCTACCATCTATTTTCTCTGTCATAGTTTAGACAGCAGCCATCAACTGTTATGATACGACTGAGGCTGATTAAGTATGATTCCGTTCCGTAGCGCTCGGTAGGTAATTAGTATTAACGCACGATCTCTACTAGCCCGTTGATGTAGTTTCTGATAGATTGGCTGTCGTCATCCTAGATATTGCTGTAGTTAAATTGTGATGCTATTTGTTATAACCTGAACCCAACTAATTGGAATGTCTGCAGTTGTCATTCATAACACCGGCATAGCCAGCCAGCACCGTAGTTTGGTTGCGTTTGCAATGTACATAACTGAACGCATTTATTTAGTAGACGCTTTTTTTGTTACTACCTAGCGACGTTAGACCGGAGACCTAACACTCAATCTCTAAAAATAGAAAAATGTTGTTTACTTATTTCGAGTTTTTAGCGTAAATACGGAAGAGTTTCGCAACATTCATAGTACTTTCATTTATAAATCATCCGGGAAGTGTAATTTTACTAATTTTGGGCAATGTCGATATATGATCTTGATCACACTGGCCTGCGTGAAGAAGTGCGGATCTAATAGCTGTCATAAATGCGGATCGTTGCTGTCATTAGTGCTGGGACTCACATTAATTAATGAAGTCTTGAAGTCTTGAAGTCTTGTATGTGCGGAAGAAGGCGTACTGCCTGTAACTTCCATTACTCCTTACTGATTGAGTGGGTATATGGCAGATCTGGGTGAGGATGATCGTGGGATAATTCAAGGATATAATGCTTTGTCATCCAGTTCCTCGATTCGGTGGCATTTACTCCAATTTAAGCCTCTCACTCTTCAAAAACTCGTCCACACTTCTTTTAAACAGCAAAGTTGATTTTGACCTCACAATTTTCTCTGGAAGGCTATTCCATAAGTTACATGCCCGATGTGTGAGGAAAGACCTTCGTACTCGTTTCTTTACACTAACTTTTGCGATCCGTAACGTGTGTCCTCTTGTATGTCTTGCTTCTGGTTTAAATTGCAACATATCAGCTTCCGTCTTGAGTTTCCCAGTAATAAGTTTATACAATGTTATTAGGTCACCGCGCGTTCTTCTGTACTTGAGTGTAGGTAAGTTTAGTTCTGTCAGCCTTTCTTGGTATGGGACATTGCTCAAACCTGGGACCATTTTTGTGAATCGTCTCTGCGTTTTCTCCAGTAAGTCTTGGTCTCCTTTGAAGGTAGGTCCCCACACACAGTTGCCATACTCAAGTACAGGTCGTATTAGTGTTCGATACAATTTAGAAATCATGTCCTTGTTCAAGTAAGTGAAACTCCGCTTGATAATTGCATGAAGCATCTTGCACTTCTTTGCGACTCTTGCAGCATGCACATGGAACTTCAAATCGTTATCCATCGTTACCCCTAAATCTCTCTCAGAAGTGCTTTCCCTGAGTTGCACTTGGCCCAGTGTATACTTATGAAGTGGGTTTTTTGGCCCGAGATGCATTACTGAGCACTTGTCGAGATTCAATGGTAGCTGCCAGTATTGTGTCCATGCCAGGATGTTATCAAGGTCCAGCTGTAGGTTCCTACTGTCCTGGTAAGAAGTAACTGGGTGGAAAATCTTTGCATCATCTGCAAACAATCGAATGCTGCTTGATTCCATCACCTCAGGCAAGTCGTTTATATAGAGCAGGAAACACAAAGGTCCCAGTACAGTACCTTGTGGGATTCCACTTGTGACGTCCACCCAATCAGACATAATACCGTTCACAACGGTATTATGTGGTATTAATTAATGCTTACACAACGGTATTAATTAATGCTTATCTTAACTTTAATCGAGGACGATATCGGCATGTTCGCTTGTTTTCACTCACGTAACTTCCTGGAAAAGAAATGTGTTCATTCGTAGTTCGTATCCATCTCTATATAGTATATAGCCATCTTACTTTTCATTTGAAGTTTGCTTCGTAAAGTTCCTATCAATATTGTTTCGTAGCAGTTCTGTGTCTGTCTCCGTTCCGTCTTGTAATAGCCCGAATAGCCCGTTCTGCAGTATTTAGTGGCGGTGTCTCCCAGCTGTGGAGGCGCCGGTCGTGTGTGTGACTGTTTCCCCGGGACGCCGCCAGGTGGCAGTGGTGCCGACCGTGTACCGTCCGTCGCCTCTGGAGCCGAGCCGGCCGACCGAGGAGGCGCCGCCGGCCTCCCCGACTCCGTCCACCGTGTACCTAGAGCCGTCCACCAGCGCGCCGACATCACTCGTGGAGGTGGGTCCGGTGGGTCCGTGGCGGAGCGCGGGGGTCCGTGGCGGGGCGCGGGGGTCCGTGGCGGGGCGCGGGGGTCCGTGGCTGGGTCTGGACAGTCCCGGCGGCCGCACAACTGATACCAGGGGATGAGTATCCGATTCTTTATCGGTGTAATCATTCAGTATGAACATTGACCCGTTCAAAGATGCCCTCACTTGTCTGTCTTACAGCTCTACTTATCTTGCCTGACCTCGTCACCTCTGTCTGACCTTGGATGACCTCTGACCTCTTTCTGGCCCCAGCTGACTTTCTGACCTCTATCTGACTTCAATCTGACCTTTATCTGCCCCTGCTGACGTATGACCTCCGTCTGACCTCGGCTGCCTTCTGACCCTGTTTGACCTTTGACCCCTGTCGGCAGTCGTCGATGACGGAGCCGGTGACGGTGAGCGCCACGCCGACCGTGGCTCCGCCGCCGGTGTTCACTGCGCCGCCCAACGTGCGGCCGCGCGTGCAGCAGCCGCTGCTGCCGCTGTACGCGGTGGCCGGCAAGCCGTTCTCCGAGTGGGTGCCGGAGGAGACGTTTGTTGACCTGGAGGATGGCGAGACGCCCGAGCTGGAGCTGCAGCTGGAGGACCTGTCCTCTGCCGACGGCCAGCCGCCGGCCCAGGGCTGGGTGCAGTTCAGCAGCGACGACCAGCGCTTCTACGGACTGTGAGTGCATGGGAGGGGGCGGGGGGGGGGGCAATAACGCTTCTATGGACTGTGAGTGCTATAGGGAGTAAGGCCCAAAGGGAGTCATGAGACGGCTCCATCCAAATCGAGGCAATTTTCTCAGGAATAGATGTTGCGACGCAACATTCATCTGCCTTCAATGTTGAAAAATCTTACGTCGCTCTGATCGAGTTTTGTGCCCGGGCCTTGGGCCAAAATATTGCCGGAATACTGTCAAGCATTGTCGGGACATTTCGTTCGTGGCTGACCGAACCTCACCAGGCAAGGTAGTGGCATAGACCTCTATACACGGTGTGCACACAGCATACGGTGGACAATGCGTTGTTAATGTTTTGCGTAGGGCCGTCCAAACAGGCCACACTGGAAGGATATATTTATCGTTTGCCGCCTACCGCCCTCCCCGTCCCCGTCTAACCCTCGCGGCCGGTGTCCGCTCGCAGGCCCCTGGAGGAGGACGCTGGGATGTACGACTACCAGCTGGCAGCGTTCGACAGCGACGGCGACTCGGCGACTACCGAGATCGCCGTCCACGTGCGCTCCAACCCGCTGCTGCGGCAACTCAACCACCGAGTCGACATGGAGCTCAAACTGAACCTGCCTGAAGGCTTCCCTACGAGGGTGCGTCACACTGAACTAATTGCATTAGGTCATCAACCGTGGAGGGCATCGAGGGATGATAAGGGTTGTGTAGTGTCCTCGAACTCGCCTTTTTGTTCAGCTTTTTGACTGTATTCTGTCTTATTCCCTTTCCATTATCTTTTTCCGTTTTTTTTTTTTTTTTTGTTATCTTCTCAGCGTCCATGTAATGTGAGCCCTGTGAGCTCCGGTGTGCCCTGTGCTGCCCTCGGTGTGACCTCCGAAGTCCGATGTGACCTCTGCTCTGACTTCTGCTGTGAGAGAGAGAGAGAGAGAGATACGGTGTATTTAGTTCATGGCTGCGAGCATTTGCCCATATAGCGCATGTGATAACAGTACAGCAGTTTTGAGGCACTGCAAATAAACAAATGCAACTACATTGGCGCAATTACGATAACAGTAGCGTACAGGCCATATTCTATCTGGACGACATGATATCCAGGTTAATGAGCGAGGTCATATGTGGAATGCATGACCTCCTCAGGCGAGTACCACAGCAAAACGTTTCAAGAGTGTTAGAACTTCTCGTTTCTCTGCCGGATATCGAGCCTCTCGATTTCGGGAATACTGCTGCTGTGACCTCTGCTCTGACCTAACTATGACCTCACTGTGACGTCACTGTCCGCTGTGCCCGCAGGCGGATTGGCTGACTCAGCTGGTGGCCCAGCTGTCGCGGCTGTTCGGGGAATCCCTGGAGGACACGGCGGTGCTGCTGGAGCGGCTGAGGGCCGAGCCGGGCCTGCCGATCCGCCTGACCTGGGTCAATGACACCCTGCTGGGCGACGCGTGTGACCGCGCAGAGATTCAGAGGATGGAGGAGGTGAGGTGCCGGCGGAGAGCCGGTGTTGGCGGCACGGGTAGCGGTATCGGCAGATGTATCGACGGCTGGGGCCGGCAGGCCGCGGCAGTTATCATTAGAGACGTATCGCAGAGGTGGCTGGTTTAGCTGGAGCACACCTTTTATCTTTTTAGATCCGCAATTAAGGTGTCCAGCTTGTGAAGTAAAAATTGCATTGATCTCATCTTATGATCGTGTATGGCATCCTGTTAGAGAGATGGTTAGAGAGAGAGATAGAGACCAGAACCAGATGTACTACTTCAGATAGGGAAACCTAATGTGAATGACTATTCGAGGCACAACCATGATTGATCGTTTGCTTCGGTAATCGGTAATAGTAATAGGTTTTAATTCAGAAGAGGATACATGCACCTCCTCACCGCACTCATTCTCGCCGACAGCTGCTGGTGGACAAGGACGGCTCTCCGTCGCCGTACCTACAGAAGACGCTGGCGCCCGTCTTCAGGGCCAAACGTATCCACGTGGACCGGATGGGAGACTGTCAGGAGCCACCGCCGCCGCCGCCGCCGCTCGTGCCGACGCTGGCGCCCACCGAACCACCTACCGAGCCTCCTACGGAACCAGCGACAGAACCGCCGACAGAACCGCCGACAGAACCACCCACGGAACCCCCTACGGAGCCTCCCACGGAAGAGCCCACAGAACCTCCTACGGAGCCACCCACAGAACCTCCTACGGAGCCAGCTACGGAACCGCCCACCGAGCCACCCACAGAGCCGGAGCCGGAGCCGGAGCCGGAGGTTCCCGTTTCGGCGCCGAACCCGCCTCTGCTCTTAGAGCCGCTGGAGCCGGTGAAGACGCCGGCCGGTCACGTGTTCGAGCTGCAGGTGGGTGAACGCTCTCCGTCGTACTCAACCACTCACCGTCTCCCACACTAACACATCTGATCTGCATATGTGTATCAGCCTATACATACGTGTAATATTTAGACACGTGCGTGTCCACAACCCCATGCGTTGCAGCTGAGAGGGAAGGATTAGTCAAAGGGGCCCGTAATGTCCGTCTTTGAATTCACATTAGCCAGTGGTTACCAAATCCGTGTTATGTGGCTTAACAATACCGTTGGCTGGTTATGTAAATGACGTACCGTGTTCTGTGTGTTCCTATGGTTGATTGTTTTCCTTTGGCTCACTGTGTCACTAGTTTCTGTGAGCTGGCGCACCTGCCTTTGCCCCTGTCCTGGCTCCGGCTGTGTCGGGGACTCGGTCCCTGAGTCCACTGCTCTCACTGTTCCCTCCGTCCCCGCCGTCCCGCTGTGCCTCCGTCGCTGACCGCGCCGCCTGCCGGCAGCTGCCGGAGACTATGTTCGGTCCGGGCCCGGGCGGCCGCGGCCTCTCGGAGATGTCCCTACGCCTGCTGTCGGCCGCTGGGGACGAGCTGCCCGCCAGCAGCTGGCTGCAGCTGGACGCCAGCAGCCACCAGCTGGTCGGACTGCCGATGGACAAGGACGCGCGCCGAGAGCGCTACTTCCTGGTGAGTTCTTCAGGTTGGGCGACTGAACCGAGCTGGCGTATGCTACAACAGTCAGTCGCAGTATTTTGTGAAGAACAGAGTGGTTGACTTGGCTGTAACTGTAAATGTTCCGGGTGTGTGCATTATTTCGTTTCTAGTGGAACAAACTATTCGTAGCTTTATCGTTCGTTTACAGTACAAAATGTTTCGTTTTCAGTTTGATTAAACCTATTATTATTGTACTTTATCAATCGCACGTCTTTGGAACTACCCTACTGCAATTCTCGTTATTTCCTGGCGACAATTTTCCATCCAAAGTTGACCACTGTCACGACAGTCGTTGCTCCCTCCCTGTTTCACCGTGCTGTCTGTTGTCCCCCTCCCCCTCCCTCCATCGGTCCACAGCTGTGGCCGTCGCTCAGCGCCCCTCTCACATCTGGTCCCTCGTTTCAGGTGTGCGAGGACAGCGAGGGCCGCAGTGCCTCTGCCGAGCTCGAGGTGACTGTGGAGCCGCGGCCGGCCGCCGGCGCCGTGCTGCCGCCCTCGGCTCAGTTCCAGCTCACGCTCGACCACAACCACCGGGCGTTCGTGCGCCGGCCGTTGCTGCGCGTGCGACTGGCCCGCGCCATCGGCCGACTGTTCGGAGACGCCGGCGCCCAGGCGGTGGTGATCGAGTCGATCGCCGCCGGCTCGACGGTGGTCAGCTGGTCGAACGGCTCGCTGCCGACCGACGTGTGCGCCGAGACAGAGGTGCGCCGGCTCCAGGAGACGCTGGTCGATGACCAGGGCGAGGTGACCGCGCACGCGCGGGACGCCCTGCAGCCAGAGTTCCGCGTCCAGAGCGCCAGTGTGACGCTGCAGGGCGCGTGTGCGGCGCTCATGACGCCGCCCACGGAGGTACCAGTGGGGACTGAGGGCGGTAACGGCACGCTGACCGGCGGCGAGGGAGAGGACGAGGACGGCAACTACTTCATCACGTTCCTGATCCCGGCCGTGGTGATAGCCGTGATGCTGCTGATCGCCCTGGTGGTGGCCTGCTGTCTGTACCGCTCGCGCCGGCGCGGCAAGATGTCCATGTCGGAGAGCGGCACGTACACCAGTCGCGGCGTGCCCGTCATCTTCGCCGACGAGCTGGAGGAGCGGGTGGACCGACGCGCCACCAAGCCGCTGGTACTGAGCAGCGAGAAGCCGCCCGAGCCGCCGGCCTACCCGACGGCCACCACGCCCATGCTGGACGCCCACGGCGAGGCCAACGGTGCTGGAGACGCGCCCTACGAGCGGCCGCCGCCGGTGGCCGCACCCCCCGAGTCGGGCCGGGCCGGCCGGCAGGCGTCCAACGCCCGCCAGCCGCCGCCCTACGTGCCGCCCTAGCGGGCCGGAGTGCCGAGTGGGACCCGCTGGGCCCGGCGCCGGGACAGACAGAGCCCGGTGCCTGAACTGAGTGTGACGGACGCCTGACCACAGGTGGACGGATATCGGCGCCGAGAGTGCTGGGGACGCGTGGTGGTCGTGTGACATTGTGTTATGCCGAGAGACTTGGAGAATAGTTCGTGGTGCCTACTCAAAGCCCAGGAGAGCTTTTAGCTTTATGACGTCATTTTAGTCACGTGACGGTAACTCTGACATGCTAGAGATTGGACTTACTGACGGTGGACGGACCCCGCGCGACTGAGCTTACCGCCGCGACAGCTGAGTATTGGTTCATACTGCCCGCTGTGGTCTCTGATTGGCTACTGGCAATCCGTCGCGATATCCCACTGGCTGATGTCGTCCAGCGCGACTCCTCCAATATGGCCGCCGCTGCGTGTGTGTGGTCCGGTGCCGATGTGATGTCTGTGATGGGGCGGCGCGCCGGTGTTCCCTCTTGTAACCCCTGCTTTGTGACTGGCCGAGTGTCCAGCCCGACTGACGATCTGCGCGCCGCGGTCCACGGTAACCAGACATCCGCTAACGCAGACTAGTGCAGCAGCGCGCCCTCAGCAAACTGCGCGTGCCAATGCAATATAAACCCGTGTATTCTTGCCACTCGTCATGCGCAGAATGTTTCATCGCGGGGAGTGATGAAAACCGCCGAGATTCGGCACTTTACGGACGTTTAGTGAGGTTTTATTGGCGCGTAACATGGGAAGATGCGGCACTCACGATCGGTACGAGTATGTACGGAGGACGGGAGCTCTTTCCTGTTATCACGGGCAGGAATTAAAACGTCCCGCTATCACAGACACAAAGCGAAGCACTGGGTTCCATAGGACGTGCCTCCTCCTTTCCGGAGCACTCCACCTTTCGCCACTAAAAGGTCTAATAGTACGAAACGAACATCCTCGTCGCATGAAGTCGCCGACCGACCTCATTCACGTTTGGCACACGACATTGTAATTCATACACTTCAACTTGAGTCACGCAAAGGCCTATTGTTGTCCGCCGGAGTTCACGTAGGCCGGCGTACTTACAGCACTCCCTGTGCAGACCTCGTTGAGCACGACCCTCCTCGGCGCCCAGCGTCCCATGCCGTCCTCAGTCGCCGTCGAGCCGTTCGGCCAGCTGTGTGTGGCCGTGTATCCGGGCCACGTCGGCCGCCGTCCTGCCGTGAGAGTCCCGCGCCGCCCGCCTCGCGCCCCTCTCCAGCAGCAGCTCACAGACGGCCATGTGTCCCTCCCGGGCGGCCGCGTGCAGCGGGGTGCTGCCGTCAGCGGCCGGCGCCGTCACCAGCTGCGCGAACAGGCGCGCCGTGCGCACACAGCCGGTCTGGGCGGCGGCGTGCAGCGGGGAGCGGCCCAGCCGGTCGCGGCGCGCCGGGTCGGCGCCGGCGGCCAGCAGACGGCTCACCAGCGCCGGGTGACCGGCGCGGGCTGCATCCATCAGCGGCGTGACGCCACTGGAGTCGGCCGGGTCCGCGGACTGAGCCGGGTCCGCCAGCAGCCGGGACACCACCGCCTCGTGGCCGGCGAACGCTGCGCGACAGGGCACCGGGGAAAGGTCAGCCGGGGAAACACGGAGAGACGACAGACGTCAACCCAGTGCGCACACACACAGGGAGACGTCAGAGGTGAGACCGGCACAAACACACAGTGAAACATCGGAGAGGAAGGGTTCGGGCTTCAACACTTTTGAGTTCGCGGGACATGGTACGCAATTATAACAGCTTTTGGAATTTGGGAACCACATTCTCGACATTCTCGAGATGTGAGCAATGCTCCCGCCATGTTTGATAGCAGAAAACACCTCTCCGAGTCCCGACCTGCTAGTACACGACGACGGCGCTGCGATCCAGTAAAGTTTGCCTCGTAACTTTGAATATGCGCACACAATTACACATAGTAATTTTAAAATTAAAATAATATCGATAAAATGTCCCAGATCTAGCACGCACACAGCCACCAAAGGGACCCCGCCGGTGGGCAGTGGCGTTGGTCACCGCCCACCGGTCCGGAGAGGGTGGTCGGGCGGTCGGGGCGCTTCCTTACCAGCAGTGTGCAGCAGTGTGCGCCCGGTGCGGCTGCGCGTCTCCATCAGCCGCGGCTCGGCGCGCAGCAGCAGCTCCAGCACGGGCAGGTGGCCGGCGCGCGCGGCCACCTGCGCCGCCGTCCAGCCGTCCTTGTTGGCCAGCAGCGGCAGCGCGCCGGCGGCCAGCAGCGCCGTCACGCACCCCGTGTCGGCCCGGGTGGCGGCCAGCATCAGTGGCGTCCAGTCGGCCCGCTTCAGCGCGTTCACGTCGCAGCCTGCGGACAGCGCCGGGAGGGACGGGCCGTTGAACGGGGCGCTGCCGAACACTGTCGAACGGGGCACTGCCGAACACTGTCGAACGGGGCGCTCTGATAGACTGGGGCGATTAACTGTCTGGATCAGGGTTGTGCTTGACTCATGAGTCGAGTCAGAAATTTGACTCAACTCTGACTCAAATGAGTCAGGTTTGAGTCGAGTCGGATAAAATGTTGAGCTGTTGAGTTGAGTCAGAGTTGAGTCAGACAAAAATATTAAAGTGTTGAGTTGAGTCAGAGTTGAGTCAGTAAAATAACTTTTGACATTGAGTTGAGTCAAAAACATTTAGGAACATGAGTCAGCTGACTCATCTTTTTAGAAACAATATATATAAGCTTTTCATTCTCCCCCGCTTAACAACTTAGGCCTGGCCCTGCTGCTGGATTTTTTTTTCACCCCCCCCCCCCCCGCTCAACAACTTTTTTTATCTGAGTCAATTTTGAGTCAACACACTTGACTCAACAAAAAATTTGAGTCAAGTTTGAGTCAACTCATATTTTCATTGAGCCGCTTGAGTCATGAGTCGAGTCAAGGGAAAAAATCAGCTCCTTGTTTGAGTCAGAGTTGAGTCAGGGCTTTCTGAAGTTGAATGATGAGTCGAGTCGGCAAATTTTTTTGAGTCGAGCACAACCCTGGTCTGGATGACAGGTAATATCTATTTGATAAAATGTTACTATTAGTGGTGAGCATGTGGGCTGTTGAGCGGGCACATGGTCACAGTAGTAGGTGAGCATCAATTTCCTTGCTTTTTTTCTGGCTAGAAAAGGTAGGTAAGTCATCTTTCTAGCTACAGTTTGAAGAAAAGCTAGTTAAAATAGCTGTAGCAAAACCAAAGCACTTGACTACTGAGAATTAAAAGATGTTTTTAATGAAAATGTCCACTTTTATGTGGCAAAAAATGAGGTGCAAAACTGCTAAGAGGTGCTTCCACGCCTTATTGAGGACATGACATTGAAAAAGTTCCCCCAAGAACCCTTGTCATATTGATATACAAATTATATGAGCAAACTCTAGTAACTAAAAGGTTAGGAATTATTAAATGAGCATTCCATCTTCATGAGATCTATGAATCTTAAAATGATTTGAAACTTGATGGAATTGAAAATGTTCCAATAAGCCATACCTGCGTCAATCAGCGCTCGCAGACAGTCTAGGTGTGAAAAGTGGGCAGCCTCATGCACTGGACGTTTGCCATCCTTGTTGCCCACCTCCAGATACATCCTGCATCCAGTTGAAAGCAAGAGCCTGAAAAATTAAATCGACGCACTAAAAATAAGCTTAGAAGAGATTAGACAATAGTGCTCTAAGAACTTATTGAATATCAAAATGAAGTATTAATGTCAACTTGAAATGGGTTATCCAAAAGCCACAATTTTAGCACTCGGAAACTGGTGACTGACCTTTTAGTGCTTTACAACTTTGTTTGTTATTGGAGCTATTAGGAAACTTCGCTTTATATTATTTCAATATACATATAATAACCATGAATGCTTTTCCATCTTAAATTGGCTACTTACTTTAGCGTTTCTACGTGACCCTCCCTTGCAGCGAGATGAAGACAAGAATCTTTAGATTTTAATTGAACACACTCAGACCATATTATCTGTGGACCTAAGTTGGAGATATATTCCTTTAGCTTCACAGTCTGTCCTTCCTGAGAAAATCTCAATAAATTATCAGTAACAGAATTCATTTCAATATGCAACCACAGAATCTACGAAGCAAACAACATAAACGACGGAGCCGTTTGTGAGCATTGTTTTTATTTGGCTGGTAATTATTCAAGAACTAAAAAGGTTCATATCGCACTATTTTTGTAATTTTGCTCTATTTACGTTTTTTTTTTTTAGTAAAATCAGGACATTCGCACTATTTCAAATATGATACCTTGTTTAAGTACTTTAAGCACCAATTTAGTTCCAAGCGCTCTAAATTATGGTCATTATGTAGTAAATATAGTTCATTTTGCCCTAAATCTAGTTTTCCTTCTTACGCGTTAGTTTGTTTAACGAGCATGCTAGTGGAATATCCCAAGTACATCGTCTTTTTTCTGGTATTAAAACTGGCAACAGTTTGAATGCGCCAAATAAAAGGGCGCATTTGTTTTGTCGCGCGATTCAGTGGGTTATACGGCATTGTTAGTGGGGTTGTGAGCGAGTTGTGAGCGAACTTGGCGTGATTTTTCCGGACTCTTTTCACCGATTTAAGGCAGATATGGAGAACATTGACAGCGACGATGCTTTTCAAGATGAGGGTTCAGGTGCAAGCCGTAGTATTGTGAACAGTGGACCTGGCACACCAGCAGACCTGCCACGGAAGTCTGGAAGAGGCAAGGCCAAGGTGTGGGAGAAACTGATTGTATTGGGAAGCCACGATGAGTTCTTGGAATGGTTGAGAAAAGGTGGGTTCTTCTAAAATTTCTTTAAAAAACAGCTGTGATTAAAGTTACCCCGGGCGAAGTTACCTTCAAGTGCTTATTTTCATGTTAAATGCACATATTCTGGTATTGATTTACTTTAGGTCCGCAAAACAGAGGGGTAAATAAAAGTCATTCACACGATACTCTAAGACCTCCTGATTTCATTTCTGATACTTATTCCTTCTAGAAACCAATTTAAAAGCACCAGTACACTAGTATCATCAGTATCACCACCAACGGCCCCACCTCCGACCGGAACTGCACGTGTCAAAAGACCGTCTGCGCGGCGCACCCGCTACAAATGGTCCAACCAAGGTTGAGCGAAATTACGGATGATAATAAATTGTAAGGAAAGTGACGTCAAAATAATAGAGGCGGAGCGGTGCAGTGCCGAAGGCAATGCCTTAGGAGAGATTACAGGCAATGGTAAGTCAAATATTTTTAGGTTAAGTGGTTGTGTATCTGGCTTCAGGCCGAAGGCCTGAAGCCTGATGCATAACCACTTAACCTAAAAATATTTGACTTACCATTGCTTGCAATCTATTCATGCAAGTCACTTTTTCCTTTTCCCCCAGTAGGCAAACATCAGTAGGTCAGGTTAGGTAAGGTTTGGTTATGTTCTGATCATTTTCTCATGCTCTATTACCTTTGCTAAATATTTTCTCTTTTTTATTCACCGTTTTTCTTGTGCCTTGGTATTATGACGTCATTTTCATAACGTCGAAAACTAATGAATATCCGCATCATTTTTTTCTTTGATAGGGCAGCGTTGTATGTTTCGTTTTTGTCGCGGAAGCGTGCTTTCTTCAGTGTATATTGTGCAGCAGTGCGGTGTAATGTGCTGGGGTTTTAGTATCTTATTTTACATTTTTGATGCATTTAAGCATCATATCTGAATTCAGGACATCAAATAGTGTAAGAATGTGCATTTTCTCTTGTTAAAATAATATTGCGGACCTAAAGTAAATATTTACCCATATTCTTAGATGTGCTGGGCATTAGTAGAGCAGACATCACACAAAGGTTTTTCAACCAAGGAGAGGCACTGTAGGTTTTAGATTGTAGGTTGTAGGTAAGGTTAGGTCAGGCATGGGTGTAGGAACTAGGAACCTCACGAAAAGTGGGGGGGGGGCAGCGAAACTTCAATGTCACTTTGTGGGAGCCCCAATACCCCTATGATGAAATTCTTTGCAGTTTTGTGCTCATCTCACCTTGCCGAACCATTTCCTCCTCTTAGTTTTGTATTTAAATTAAAAATAAAGATTTTACTTTCAAAAATGGCTGAAAGGTGGGGGGGGCCATGGCCCCCCGGCCCCCGCCCCCTGTTCCTACGCCTATGAGGTCAGGTTAGATTAGGTTTGTTTTGGTTTGACATCTTCGGGTATAGCGCCTCTCCTTGGTGGGAAATTGGTTGGAAAACCGACAAAACCTTCGTGTGACGTCTGCTCTACCAATACTGATGTGCTAATGATGATTTTGCAAAGTTTCAACAAAATATTTTGTAATAAATATAACTCATATCTTTATCCTCATATAATCATAATCCTAATAACCCTTAAAAGATAAATTTAACATCCCTGAAAACCAGACACTTGTGGTAGCATGTCACAAAGTGCTTCCCCTTGTCTGTTATTATTTTGTAACAGTGCACTAGGAAATTGATTTATTTTATACCCCCTTTAAAAAATTTCAAATGCCTGGGATCACCGATCACATTAACAAATCTTCTTACTTATCTTCACAGAGGAGTCTGATCACCAGCAGCGGTGGACTAAGAAAAAAGAAAATCCCTCATCTGAAGGTATGAAGCGAATTTACCGATGCCGTCACCGTGACTGCAAGGCAGAAATAAGCGCACTGTACCACGCCAGAAACACGAATGTAACTGTGTCACGTGCCGCTAATGAACACACCCATCAAGCACCTGCTTCTTGGGGCCTGTCTTCAGAGGCAAAGGAGGTGAGCTGGCCAATAGGAGTTGTGTGTGTGTGTACATATGCATGTGTGTGCAGGAAACCAGGAAGTTATAAATTAAGATGGGGCAACGTACCATGTGCCCAAGGCCCCAAACTTTCATCGTCCTCACTCAGACTGCATGATTATACAATATCAAATACCCAATACCCATTATGTATGTATTTGCTGGGCAGAGGGCTCTTGCTTTGCTTTGCTCCATATATGGGGTCCATGTTATGGGTTTCCTGCCGGAGGGTGTCCCGATGACTGATGCGTCCCCCAAACTTCCTAATTTTAACATTACTCGTATGGGCATTGGCTGCAAGGAATTGACTCCTGATAGTCCCTGTCCTGAATGTGCTGAATGCCCCTTCTTCCTCCCCCACCACCACCACCAATCTTCCACCCGCGGTGGTGCCCGTAGTCCAAGCATTGCATTATTGCGTCCTTTTCTGACTACCGAATAGTGCCATATGAATGCAATGGGGGGGGGGGGGGGAGGTAGTCATTGGCAAGAAGTTGAGGGGCTATATCGACACCTTTTTAACCCCACATCTGCTCTCCCGTGAATTTCCGGGAGGCACGAAAGATCTCCTTTTTAAAAGTGTCCAATCGTCCGATCCTGATCAAATATGTGTGTTCGTAGGCCTGTTCTGGTATTGCTTTATCTGCCAAGACAGACAAACTTGAGAAAAATAGAGTGATTGTACCTTTTTTGAAGGTCTCTAACCAACTTGTCTGAAATTCACCGGAGAACAATTGTGGGGTTTAAAAAAAGGTGTCGATATGTGTTTTGTGTATGCCTTTTGTCTATTTGTATATGTTTGTACTTTACCCTCTATCCCCGATTAACCGGCGCCGGGCCGGTGCTCGGCGCCACCCTCGCCGGGCCGGGGCAAGGCCGTATATACCGGCCGGTGTATGATGAACGTTACCCATCTAACTCAACCCGTTAGCTGAGCTACGTAGCGAGACCCAACAGGTGGCGTTCGAAAGTTCGTTAACCGACAACCGACTTAACTTTGTGACGTCACTTTGACCTGACCTGACCTTGCACAAATATAAAAATTTGCACACATGTGCACTAGGTATTCATTTCAAGCTATACTAAATTTCGCGTCGCTATCGCGACGCGTTTCAGAGAGTTATTGCAGAAAAGCTAAAGTGGGCAAAAAATGACCCCCCACCGCCTGCCGGGTTAAGCGAACATAAGTCATACCCCTGTTAACTACAAGTGCAAATGCAACATGGAAATGTTTTGACAACAATTCGACAGTGTCCATGGCCACCATGTATTCGTGTCAAGTAGGTGCTGCCATTTTGATAATCTTACGCTCATTCTTTCCCTTTCCAGGCAATCAACGATCTCTACCGTGATGGAGTACGGAAGCCTCTGCAATTATACAACATACTGAGGAGTAGAGGCATCAGCACGGCCAACAAGACACAGATTGACAACTTTCTTAAGCGTAAGCGCGAAAAGGAACATGGACCACCTTCAGTGACGTACCATGACATCTCGGAGTGGTGCGAGCAGCGAAGTGCCCCACCCAGCGATGAGCACGAGGTGTACGTCGTTAAGCATCTTGTGGACGCTGCCCTCGGGCGTGTGTGTGTGGTAATGAGCACAAAGGCATTGCAGCGTGTCGCGACTGGCGCGAAAGTGGTACACACCGACGCGACCTACAAACTAACGTGGCAGGGTTTTCCGGCCATCGTGGCGAGCGTGTCCGACGCGGACCGGCATGTGACGCCAGTGGCTTTCGCTGTGTCCTCTGGCGAAACGAAAGACGACTACGAAATGGTTCTGCGTGCTATGAAGCAGGCGATAGAGGCTGTGTCGGGAGAGCCATTTGAGCCCAGGGTGATCGTGGCTGATGCCGCTGAGGCCATCACTTTGGCGGTAGAGGCTGTCTTTCCCAGAGCGTTGCGCCGTGTGTGTTGGTTTCACGTTAGAAAGAACGTCGAAAGCTATCTGAGGAGGCAAAGTGCCATGAAAAAAGCTTGCCTGGAGGACATATCGGTTCTTCAGCTGGCACAGAGTGAGGAAGAGTTCAGTCGAGCGAGCGTGGCCATGTTGGCCAAGTGGGAGCGTCAGTGGCCAGAGTCGGATTTCCGGAAACATTTCCAGAAGCAGTGGCTAGAAAAGAACTCTTCATGGTATGAAGGCATTGACGTGGAATCGCCATCCACAAACAATGGGCTAGAGGCCTTCAATAACGTGATTAAGAGCTACACCTGTAGAGAACGACTACCGGTGGGTCAATTCCTCAGCACTTGCGATCACATGATCAAAGAGTGGTCACTTGACACAACTGATCGGCGACCATTCCACGAGGAGCCCAGCGTGTCAACTCGGCACTACCGAGACGCATGGATGTACATGCAAGAGGGCAAGGAGCCGCTCTACTTGGACGACGGCCGCACGATGTTTC